CGTTGGTTGCATCTGAAACTTAGTAATTGATAATGATTATTATATTTCTCTTAATATATCAACAACTAGCTGTCACCCGCGTCTCCGTCCGCACGGAATTAAAAAAAAAACATAATTAGTAGCTTATATGCAAAATATCATCAAGATCGGGTAAGACATTCCGGAGATTCAAACAAACATCAAAAATACGCATTTATAATATTAGTAAGATATATAGCGCTTTAAAACAGAACTGTTCCAATAGAAATGATTTATAACTCACAAAACTTTTTTTTTACATTTTTAACGTCACTTTATTCAAGATTTAAAATTAAATAAACATGCTCACCATTATTATGTGCTATGACTACAAAATATATAGCGAATATGATAAATAATAATAAATATCGTTTCATTTTATAATGAATAATGATATTGATAAAGAACAATGGTATTGACGAAATACCACATCCTTTATACTATTGTGGACGTATGCTATAACAACTATTATTTTATGTTTTATTTATGGGTCAAACGCGATAAACGGTTCACGATCCTAATAATGAAACAATTTAAGTTAATAATATTATTATTTAACATATTCATTGCATTGTTTTCATACATAAGACGAGGATAATTATTTTTCCTTACTAACTACCGATCAAATATTCGTTACTCAAACGGAAACTTCGTGTGGATAATAATAAATCTATGCCAAAAAACACTCATAGTGGTCATTTAAAGATTCTGAGTATAGCAGTAAGCACGCTAATCTGTGTACATTGATCTTCTACAAGGATACAAAGATCCCGCTGACATAACCTATACACTTTCATTAAATAATAGCAATTTTACAACCATACATATTGGCTATAAATTATTGTTTGACATTGTCTCGTTTTACTTCAAGGCGATATACGCACGTTACGTCATCTTGGTGTGCTTATTGGTTAAATGTTATGCGATTGATTCACGCGTTTGTCTCGTAACAACATTACGAAAAAATCACTTTAATAAGAATGATTAGATAATCGATACATAAATAGAATTGCTTCATTTAAATATTGACCATTTAATTAATTATGAATCAGGATGAATATACTAATTTTAATATAACTTGGAACAACTTCTTTTATGCCTTATACTTTCTCTTTGACGAGACAGTCTTCAACAAACATTATTAGAAGTTTGATGGCAGTGTAATTCTGCGGTATCATGCAATACGCTATTTAAGCATGTCTCATGATCTAACACAAATATATGCTTCACGGACCTTCGTAACGACATCGAAATTTGTGGGCAGTTTGTCGATCAGGTTACGAAAACGTTCCCACGATTTCGTATTAGACCCTCTGATCGAAAATTCTATTATAATATTCTCGGAAAATCAATAAAATAAAACATAACAAAGAGGAAATTATACAATTTTATTTACATTCATACTCATAGTCAAGTGACAATCACTCTTAAGTTACATCCACCTACTCATATAATGTCACTAAAAGATATAATTTAACAAGAATAGAACAAATTAAATATGAAGCATCTGTTCACAAATATCACAGTTTCATGACTGCCTATTTACAAGTTAGTTTTTACAAATTGTTTTAATTATATTAATATTGAGATAATTATAAAAGAAAAATTTAAGGTACTTGGAATTAATTAATTCAGAGCCATTTATTCCTATCTAAGAAAGAATCCTCGGTAGTAATATCTTGGCAGCGCGGGACCTGCGAACGAAAAATATATAATTAAAAAAAATGTGTAAAATTAATCCGACTCAAATTAAGCCACAATGCTATATATGCGTATGCTTGTAATTTGTAGTTTTGCCTTTTTTGGCAAAGACGAAGTATGCGGCAGTTGTCATCTGATCAAGGTCTTATCACACGCACTGTTTTTTATACAAGCCTTACGCACAGACAGGATTAAATACTATGATTTAGATTATTTTTTTATGAATATTTAAAATGTAATCGCAATTATTTTATAGTGGGTGCGAGGTATTAATCACTGATTAAAATAAAATGAAGATTAGAAATCAATTATGACCATAAACCTGTGATATTACTTTAGTTAACTATTATATTTTCAATGGATTTAATATTTAATACATAATAAATTTCTTAATATTAAGAATAAACAATAATTGATAGAAGTGTAATAATCATAATAATAATATACGTTTTAAATTTTACATTAAAGTTAAACAATTAAATGCAGAAATTTTACATACTACTGTATAGCGTAAGACCATTTTTTTTAATTATTCAGTTATGATTATTGATAATTTAAAAATCTTAATTCCTTCGTATTGTTTGTATAAGTTTTGGGGGAACACGATCAGTTGTCAGCGCACTTGTGTCGGATTTCACGCTCGTCGGGTCGGAAATGCACAAAGTTTCCTTTTGTGGCGTTTCTCATAACTTGATTTGTGACGGCACAACCCTTCAGGCGGCTTCCGGCCCGGCGCCGCTACGGCGCGACGCCTCGCTTCCGTAGCACTGCTACGCGGGATACTACACGAGTGCTACAAGCGTGACGTAATCAAACCTATTCTGAAATAAATTCACTGAATTTTATGAATTTCAGTAGTATATTTTTAAGATACATTAAAAATTTCTTTAAACCCTAAGTTATACCAAAGAAAATTCCCTAGTAAGCTATTGTTAAGAGCGTTATTGTTGTTATGTATCACGTTTATAAAAATAATGAAGCCTTCTTACCTATGTCGTTAAAAATACAAATTTTGACAATGAAAAACTTTGAATTAATTTTTCAATTTTTAAATTAACAAATACAATTGCGTTTTAAAGTGCATACAGCGCCATCTACTTTGTTTAATCGAAACTATGTCGACATTTTATGATCTGTTGAATTTCTCCAATCTTATGTCCACTTACATTAAGGTGCCTAATGATGAAAAGTAAAAAGGTCCTGTTCTCTCTTGTCAACGATCGAGATAAAATACGGAAAAGCTTTCATATATTTAAAAGGAAGCGCAATAGCTTTTATTTTTATATTTTGCTTGCGGAACTACGCGACGTGTGAGTAATTTCGGTAAACATCAAAGACTGTGTCAGCTCCATTCGTATGTCTTTTTAAATAAATATTTAAGCTTGATGTTTCATTTGGTAATGTTATAACACAAGATAGAGTTCAAAATGTATATTTTTTTAAATATTATTATATAAACGCCAAAAAATACAAAAAATGTCATAGTCGTATAATTTTTTTCATCGTGCATAACTTTCAGTAAAAATCCTCCACTTACCATATCGGAAATGATCTATGGTGTTCAGGAATAAATTCGGTCCGCCCAATAACTCGGCTATCATGACTAAAAGTATGAATAAAAATACAGCAAAATTAATAACGAAATAATCTATCAATATTAAATTTTACTGTACATTGCATATGTAAAGATGAAAATTATGTTTATTTACACTCGTTATCGTTAAGAAGAGAAAGTAATTAAAGAACTAAAGGAAAAATAATTATAAAATTATTCTACCGAGAAATTGACGAAGATTAAGAAGAAGAATGTACATAGCTAAGTCATATTTACATTACTATGTCTAGGTATTGCCGTTGTAATCGCATACAGTCCCCACAGAGAGGCTCGTAGCCTACCAAAGTTAGAGGTGACTAGGCCATAGTCAAGCACACTGGCCCGGTGTAAGTTGCATTACGATGTTTTCCTTCACCTTATGTATAGGTAAATAGGAAATGAAAACATCTATATTTTCATTCTCTGTACATAAAAAGAGGGTTAAAAAAACAACAAACTAAAATAGGAGAAAATGCGGAAAAATATACAAAGATATTTTACAAAATGTACACTATAGAATCTGATTCTATCTACGTCTACAATATTTACAAAAATAAGGAATAACATGCAATAGCAACAGACATAACGCGCACAAGATGACCCGATGGACGACCTTCAAGAAAACAAGTTGTTATACTATAAAAACATATATATTTATGTTTCTATTATTTTTTTACATTGTCAAATAGAGTCTAAATGACATCATGCAAAATTTTCCTATATAGGATCATGAGTACACTTGTCATCATCTCACTATACGTCCCCACCGAGGGGCTAGGAGCCTACCCTAAGTCAGGAATGTCTGGGCCATAGTTAACCACGCTGGCCAAGTGCAGGTTGGTTGACTCTCCACATATCTTTCAATTTCATTTCAGATATGTGCAGGTTGCATAACGATGTTTTCCTTCGCCGTAAGAACGTCGGATAAATGTACATATGTTAATCGAAAAACACATTGTTACATGGTGGGATTCAAACCCAGGACCTGCAGATTACAAGTCAAGTGCCTAAACCTCTGAGCCACCGACGCTCTCTTGTGCGTACAATTAGCAGGTTATAAGGTATTTACGAAGGCTATGCATCTTTGTGTGGTTAAAGTAAAGCTTGAGATTACGTGTTAAATATAATACTTCTTTATG